GACTGGTCGATACAATGAGTGATCTGTGTAACGGAGAATGAAAATCATATCTATATTTGGACGGTTTCTCCTGTTGTTTTGGGCTCCATTCCCACAACCATTGAGCTCCATTGGTTCCATTGCCAACCCGGTTACACATGATCTTGAAATTTGATTAGTAGGTCATTAATATGCAATATATATAACATCGCAAAGTTGTAATGCTAATTAAGTCTTAAATATTAAGATTTAATGTAATCTATTAAAAAAACTATTTTTAAATATTATAAAATTAATTTAAAATAAAGATGTAAAATTAACCTTATATTTTAACTATTTTTAACTAGTAATGGTGTAATATTATTTATGCCTTTTCTGGTTTGGTCCAAATAAAATCAATTTCATCAATATCAACATTAGCATCAGGACTTTCTTTCCTTGCAAAAAAACCATACGCTTCTAACCATCTTGAACCCAATTCTTTTGACTTTTCTTTCCATGCATCTGTAAGTGATGGCTCATCCAAAAAACATATATACCTTACTCTTAACTTATCTTTAAATTGGCGATCAAAACTATTTGTTTTAGAGGTAAGAGAGGATCCTTCAAGAATTGCATAGTCAGAAATCAAATCTTTTTGAAGTCTGAGCACACCACGTCTACTGTCTTGTTCTGCACTCGAAAATGCGTTACTTTTCAAAATTTTATGGAATTAGCAACAATAATAATAATAATTTAAACTATATTGTAAAAAGTTATTCTTACCCCATAAACGAGATAATTACATTTGCCAATATAATGACAAAAAGAAAACCACCAAGAACATTAAGAATAGTAAGAGGCCAATAATCCCAAGTATCCAATGGAATTGAATCCCAATTATATACAGCAATTATAGCAGTAAATAGATTAGAAAATGGATTATCGGGTGCTTCTCCAACCATTGTATAAACCGTCGAACTTGAAGTCGTATTTACAACGTCATAGGAATCAGGTGCTTGATTTAATGATTCATATGCTGGATAGCCAAGAAGAATAAACCTGTATTATATAAATAAATATGTGAGAATTTGAACTTAATAATACAATCTGTAAAAAAAAAGAAAATCTTACAGCGAATGTCCCTAATAATGCAAAACATATATATATATATTAATTAAATTATTAATTTTAATAACTTAATAAATTAATAATAAATTTATAATTAATTAAATAATGAGATAAAAATTTTAGTTACCACCGCAATAATCGCTAAGCCATAAAAAATTAAAAATGTTTTAATTGATCTCATAATATTTAAGATTATATTGAGGTAATTGGCAAATCCTAAATAATATTAATAAAATTATTTAAAAATGACGATTACTTTATGATCAAAAGGATATTAGAAAATACCTGGAAAAATGCGTAACAACAAAATCTACAAGTAAAGAAAAAGTTTTTAATAATTTACTAATTTCAAATTACGAAAATAAGGAAATATGTACATACCAACTCATACCAAAGAAACGCAATACTTAAAAAAACAATAAAAACACTTAATTGAGTAGTTGTGGCATTTTTAAAGCCACCATCTACCCTATAATAGCCAAACAAAAAATAAAAAGAGAGAATCATTGGCAAAAAAATAGAAAAGTTATCCATCCAGTTGAAAAAATCTTCTATATAGTATTTCCCAAGAAATTTATATTGGTGTACCTCAATTACAAAATGATAATACGCTAAATAATAAAATAAGAGCATAATCAGAATCATTAGGACGTGTAGAAAACCAGTAATCTCGAGATGAGCAACATATGCCCAGGAAATAATCGAGTAGGATAAAAGGTATACAATGTAAATTTGTAATGTATGATGCCAATGGTATTTAGAAGAATACCACATCCAATTCATGACGGCTTCCATTGAGGGGTTATCATAAAATGCATCATCTGCATCCATCATTCGTAAGAGCCGAATAAAATGACTATATTCCTCTTTTTTAATAGATGAGGGTTTGCCAGGTAAGAAAAGTTTTATAATCATACGCTTAGTTTTTTCCATTGGATCCAGAGTTTTTTTATTCGTTGCAAAATCAATTAAAGGCACCATTCTAATGTAAGGAATTTCATCGTCACTATAATTTTTAAAAAAAATTAAATACACACCATTTTCTTTATTTTAAATTAGTAATAATAGCAGTAAAAGGTGTTACCTGATATTTTTAAGACTCAAAGTTTCACCACGAGGAATGAGTTGCGTTATAGGAATATAGACTTTTAAAGAATTTTCGGAACTTTTCTCAACCGCATGAAACTTCAAACTAGACAAATCTAACTCTTTGTTACCAAAACAAGGCTTGTAAAGGAATTCTTGAGCGTACCAGTCTTAATTATATTAATTAAATTGAGAAAATTAATTGATAAAGTTGAAATTTGGAAAATATTAATAACAAACCGAGTTCTCTTTCGTATAATAATGGTATGATTTCAGACACGACGTTCATCCACCCAATGTTATCCATCGCATTGGTTGAATAATATTCTAGGAAAAATGTAAGCATTGTCACATCGATATTCGAATCTGAGAATAATAAAAGTTTTGTATAAAAAATTATATTCATATGAACATATTTTTGCTACATATTCCAATCTTTTAAATAACTAACCTTCATCAGGGAAAATTTCTTTTAATGGAACTTGCCATGAATGAAGGGGACGTTCTTGTTCAATTTTTTTATGACTTAAAGAGTGTTTCACAATAATGTTTTTGACCTTCTTTAATTTAGTTTTGATGTCATTTTCACTATTACTTTCATTATCACTTGTTGAGATCACAGAAAGGATTCGTGTAATACATTTTTCGGAATCATTAGTTGATTCATTTCTATTACTAAATAAAATACGGGTTATGAGCGAAAAATCTTTTAGACCAATAAATTTACTCATTAGCTTATAACGAAAATCTATTAGTCTCCAAGGATTCGAATATAAGGTAATAAACCTTGTAATAATATTTCGTGTTTGTTGAACTATATCGTTATATGTTATACGTTTACCGCCTACAGCAAGATTAACAGATTTACTTTGACTATCTAAATACACAAGTGCATCGATTGCACTTCTTACTATGTAGATGATATCATCTTCATTTTCTATTTTTATCTGAATGTTTTTTCCTTCTTCTTTGTTAATCAAAAGTTCAAACTTTTCTACACCATATTTAATTTTGATAATTTTGAACTTTTCATGAGGTTCTTCTGGTTCTTCGGGGTTATCATTAACTATGTGAATGAATTCGAGTTTTTTACCACGCCAAACTTGTATAGTATTGTTTCCTATAAGGAGTCTTATGGTTTTCTCTTTATCAAGGTAGATAACATGTCTTGAAAAAGAAGGTGGCACTTTAATATAAGTATCAATTATTTTTTCTGCAGGATGAACAGCCCATGGTTCTGTTCCATAATAATACTTAAGTTCAGATTCTTCCAAATCCAATAACGAAAATTCTTCTTCAATGCCATAAGCATTAGGCTTCGCGCTAGTTATGTTACTTTCAGAAGGAGTTAGTTCTCTCCAACCCGAATCAGGACCTGATCTTGTCAAATGTTCACTTAGAACTAATTTATCCCATGCTATTTGATTTTCTTCATCAAAGAATGGTCTTATATTAAGGATCGTAAAATACTTATTTTCTAATTTTTCTTCTAATTTTTCTTCTAATTTGTCTAGGTTTTCTAAGTTTTCTGATCTAGGGCCAATGACTATTCTCGTCATATGTTTGGCTAAACCTGAGTATGTGTTTTTTTCCAAAGGTTTGAACTCGATAGATTCTCTAACAGAACCAAAAATATCCCAGACTGCCGCAGTTCTGTCAGCTTTAAATATTAATAATTTTTCATCATTCAAGACAAACTTCATAAATTCCACATCAAACATGCCACCTTCACATGATAAAGATGATAATTCAAAACCATTTTCTATTAAATATATTTTAAGGTCATCTCCAGATACGTATGCTAATAACTTTTCATCATTAGATACCGTAAATGCACCAGGTTTTTCACGATCCAAAATTGATAAAGCAAATTTATACCTTTTAAATACATTCATTAATTGATTAGTTTTTAAATCATAAATTTCTATATTTTTGTTTGGATCTCTCCCGGATGTGTCTACTAATAGGTAATGCCTATTTAAGCATCTCAAAAGATATTTACGCACGATGTCACTCGGTGGCACGGTCATATATCTACTAACGTATTCACCACAATTATACTTTAAGGCATGAATTATTCTTTCTGGGTAATTTAATGGTAAAACCTTATGATAAAATTTCATGTCATTCGATAAATATCGTAAACTATGTTTATATATTCCATTCCCTTTTAACAAAATAAGCGTGAAATCATCTGCACCATAAAGCGTGAAATCATTTGCACCAGAAAGCGTGAAATCATCTGCACCAGAAAGCGTGGAATCATCTGCACCAGAAATAAACTGTATTATTCCACCATCATTTATTTCTATACTACTACATTCTTTGGCTTTAAAGTCTTTTCCGATCATCCACATTTTGGTATAACCACGCCTACTTTTTTTTTCCGCATCTGGCAAATCTTGCATATCATCGTCGCTTATGCAAGATAAAGCTAGCAATCTAAAATTTTCATGATACTCTTTTGATTCATTTGATACAGCAATAGACCAACTTGAAAAAGAACTTGACTCCATCAACCAACTTTGTTCTTCATGCTCATCGGTAAAGTGAAGTGTAAGTTTTAATGGTTCAAATGGTTCAGAAAGATCTTTATTTTCCGCTTCATCGATATTGACGTTATACATTCGTATTATTATATTTTCATACTCTTCGTCAATTGCTAAAACAAATTTCAATTTAAATTTAATTAAAATGAAAATTTTATAACCTATTATTGTAAAACTATATTATATAATTAAAACAATATTAACTAGAAAACATACAATCAAATATAACAAGAAATGATTCGTCCTGACTAATTGCCGCACATTTTGTAAATATTGCTGATTCTTTTATATGATCTTTTTTATCAATTATAGGTAGACCTTTATCATTTTCAATTGGTATTTCAACACTATCTCTTTCCATGTCTTCTATAATTTACATATACTTTAATGAATCTTCAATTCTTAATTATCAATTATCAATTACTGTTAAAACGATCTAGAAAATAAAAATGAAATGATTTTTTTATTTACAGTTTTTCAATGTTTTACGTTGGCTTTGCTGGCTAAATCTACAAAACTTGCTCGCATCATTTATTATTTATATTTTTTTTTTGTGCTTTTTAAATATTTACGTCCCTATAAAAAGGTTTGTACAGTTATTGTAGGCATTGTCCAAAAAATGTTCAGAACGGAGTCGATTTTCCGAGTGCCATTACGATATTGTACAATTTTTTTATACCGTGATGTAAAAAAAAGAAATTTTGTACAACATCGGAAAATCGATTCTATTCCGGATATTTTTTTGAACAAAAATAGAGTTGGTCACCGAAACCTTTTTTGCCAAATCCGAAAGTTTCGGGTTTCGGATTATAGTTTCCGAAACCTCACCCGAAACCCGAAACCCTATCCGAAACCCGAAACCTCTTCCGAAACCTGAAATTCCTTCCGAAACCT